ATCAAGAAAGTTCAATAAAGTTGGTGAATTTTTCCATTTATACAACAAAACCACATTTCTTTATACCTCATCACCTGCTGGTGACTGAACTCTAAATTCAGTACATGCTTTGTGAGACGCATCTCTGATAAAAGAGGTAAACCTGTAAAAACGCTTTTCAGAGGGTTGTTTTAGTGGAGTTTGCAGTGGTGCTTGTAGGTGACATTTTATACAGAGGTGTGTGTATGATTTCATCTCTTCCTAAGCAGTGGGCATTTTTTCACATGAAATTACTGTTTTAAGTGTGTTTGCACTCATATCGACACTATATAATGTTTAAAATACTTGCCAGCATTGCACATACAGCAGGCCTAAAATACTACATGTACCAAACTACACTATTTCACAACCAGATTCACATGTCTTCATTCGAGCTGTACAAGCAGAGACACAAACAAACACATACTTGCAGGGAGAGCAATCTCTATTCAGCCCTTGAACTGTCTTTGAGTGGATTTACTATTTTAAACTCTGCAGGGCAGAGCTCCGCTGATTACAGTGCCACAGAGAGAAATACTTCCCGAGCTTCCTCCTCGCCATCTTTTACAGCATACAAACAGATTCTTTCGGAGGCGCTGAGCTGTTATTCCTCCCTGTGATGGAGGCTCTGGTTACAGAGAGCTGCCTTTTGGATCACACACACAATCGCACATATGCACTGCGCTCAGACATTCCTTATTTTACCGAAGGAACGGGTCAAACAGAAACAGATAATTGGTAAAAGCTCAAGAAATTCTGAGACAATGAGATAATTGTGGAATTGCGCTGTTTTGACTCTACGTCTTGCTCTGCTCTCTTTCTTTGGGACACAAATGTCTCGGTGGTTGTCCAAGTTTCCTGCAAACCTGAGCGTCGGCATGTTTTCCAAACTAACCATTCACTAGCGGACGCCATTAGGCCGATTAATGTGTTTCATCCCAACGTACCTGCCTTTGAACTGGTTTTTGTGTGATATTTAAGACTTTAAGTGGAGCCTCATCGTTCTTTGAGGGGTTTTGTGTGTGTTAAGACTCTGCTCTCTGAGCTCTGTGGTGAATTACAGCTGACCCATGAAGACCCCGGGCCCCGCTACTCCTACCTTTGGAAACTCCCATCATCTGGATCACATCGGGCTCAAATGGGGGGCAGAGCAGAGTCCCGCCTGTCTGACACGGGCAAAGGAGGAGGACGGTGGAACGAAGGTCCACTGCAGTGTGTGCATTTCTCTCCATCACGCACATAAACCACATTTAGTGGTGTGTAACACAGCCAGAATAAGGAGAGTTTTTTTGTTATAAATTATTTTAAAAATAAAAAAAATCATATTGCTCATGATTGCACATAATAGGGACCACTTCGATGGATTCATTGCCACTGGTCACTACTGCAGTGTGCTTGCAATCCTTGAAAACACAGAACAAAATTACCCCAAGCTTTGTTTCTCACCCAACAAGGGAGGCAGCAGCGGAAATTTGGGTCATCTGCATTGCAAATTTATGTCATGCAGCGTCTCATCGAGAAATATTAAATACATATACAGGGAAACAACTCCGTCTTGTGATCCTCGGAATCCACTGTACATATTTCACAAGAAAGACACTTTTATTGTGTGCCGAAATACTGTTGGTATCCTCCCACTAACATTGCTAGCCAGTGCATCACACTTGTGTGGGGAAAAACACCTGTTAATACATATTGTAAAAGTTTAAAAACCAGTCATTGCAAAAAAAAAACTGGTTTTAAATTGAACTAGAAATTAGAGTTTTGACTGTGTTAAATATACAGAATATCCAAACAAACAGTAAATACTTTGAAACTATTGCACCATCACAAACATTTGTCCCCCAGGGGAAAATATTAAAACATCCAATGATCCGGTGGTTCAGTTAACACTGCATGAAAAACATCAAATCCTCCAACCTGATGAGTTGCTGCCCCCTGCTGTAATTCTGCATCCATGAAAACCTCCCTTCAACATGGCTGCATGTAGCAGGACAGCACTAGTTGATAGTTCATGTGTACTGACTTAGACGTGACCCACTGTGATCTGCTTGTTTAAGCTTTAAACTTGCGTAATACACTTTAAAAATGTGAACTCTTACAGCTTTGGTGCTTCAACGCTTCTGTTGTTGACGAATTGCAGAGGTTTTGCAGATTCTTAGTTTTTTATTCACTTAAATTGTCCTTCAACCTCCTTCCTGGGAAAAGTGCCATTCCCGACCCAAGCATGGACACAGTCTGTCCCACAAAGAAAGGATATAATCCGTGTTATCACCTTGAAACTGTTTGTTAAATCCGAGTAAATGGTTTAGGAGCTGACACAAATGTGTGTGTATGTGTGTGTGTGTGTGTGTGTACTGGGGTGTGTGCTTGGAGTCGGTCACAGCTTGTAAACAGATACAGCAATCACGCCTCGGTATAATTACAGCAATCAAGAGAGGGAAGTTGTTGTCATTTACTTCATATCCCAATAGAAATAAAATACCTGGTAATTTTCTGGTTGGATGCAGAAAACAAGCTTCCTGGACAGGATTTCTGTTGTTGTGGACGATTCCAATGCTTTCCTGCATCTTTAGCGTTGAACTCCGGTTGCAGTTTTTAATGTAAACCGTTCAGAAAAACAACAATACGTTAAAAAAAGAGGCTTTATTTCTATGTGAAAAAAGCTTATAGCAAAAATAATAAAGACAACTGATGAGTGAACAATTAGTACAAAAATAATTGTGTACATTTAATTACATTTTCTTTACATGTATGATACTTGCACACAGCGTATGATTTAAGAGGTTCAGTGATATGTTTCACATACATCCTGATGCTCATCTAAGCTGAAAGAGTATCTGAGGATAAACTTCTTCAAAATATAACTGCATTGGGATGGAAATGATCATTTATGATAATAAAATCAGGTGGTGATTCAGCCAGTTTAGAACTTGCTTACATTTCCACATCTATTCTATACAGACACACACACACACACACTTCTCTCACTCACACACACATCCGAGCGTAACTCCTTAAAATCCCTGTTAGTACAGTAAGTGTTGCAGCTCCTCATAATCCAGGGTGCTTCACTGATTCTGCCACTGAGCACAGAGTTAGTGATTCTAGTTAGTTTTTGTTAGATTATTAGTAGGTTAGTTTGTTAGTTTTCAGAGAGCTGTTAGAAGCTCCTCAGGTTAGTAACTGTTAATTTGATATTAGATATGTATATAGAAACATTTCTGGTGTTTGCAGCAGTACTGTCCAGTGCTAAAATAAAATAAAATAAAAAAATATACACACACTTGTGACACTAGAAGATGTTTTTGGATGAAAGCTTCCATGTAGTGTCATTGAATGAACATCACTGGTACAGTAAGGCATGCTTTCATCTCCTTAAAGCTCATCTTGGAACAGAGTAGTGTTAGTAAGAGCAACAGGTGGACCTCTGCAGCCTCACCACAGTTAGTATATAGAGGGAGTAAGGAGTTAGTACTGGAGCGTAGGTTTGCCTGGCTTCTGTCCCACTGAGCTACCTGCGGCGACAACAAGCCAGGCACTCACCTGCAAAAGGTTGACCACACAGGACACACACAGAGACGCAAAACCGGCCTCTGAAGATGTGAATTTATCCTGTAAAGCGTGACGAGTCAGAATCGGATGGTAATCGGTTTAGTAAAGATTCTTCTTCGGTATGTGGTCAACCCAGTTTGACTTCTGTTACCGCTCCGCTTTTCATCTCGTGGTTAATAACTTTTTTTTTCCCCTTCCCAAGTCCTGAAACCCTTCTTGACATGCACACAGGAGCATTTTTCATCGACTTTCTTCTTGAATAATTGAACTAAATTGGGCGTGTCTGGAAGAAGGATTGCAGGATCATGAGAGAGGAGTGTGTGCATCAGACTGCGGCATAAAGCAGAGGGGTTAGTTAGTGGGTTAGAAATGCCAGCCATCAGCATTCTCAATACGGGTTAGTAATCCTCCAACTGTTAGCAGACATTAGTAATGTTAGATATTAGTGAGATACTGTTAGTAGAATCCACACATGGGTAAAAAGCTATTTACACGTAATTATTAGCATTTGCTGTAATTTACTTAAGTGTTAAATGACGGGGCTGTAGTCATCAGGGCAGCTTAATTTATGCCAGCAGGCATCATTTAGAAAACTACACACCATTAATTTCCAGCGCTATTCCTGTGATCTAAATCACAGGAATAACTGGCGCTTCAATGAGGCTGTAACAAATGCTAAGAATCATTTGTAAATAATGTTTTATCCCTTATCTGGTACATCCATAGGCTAAAAGAATGTATTAAAAGTTTGAAAGTATGAGAAAAAAAAATCACTGTAAAGCAGCTTGTAGCTTCAGCTTCAGGCCCATTACAAATACATTTTATCAGACTGAGACACATGCACACATACAAACACATACACAGATCGAGTACATGCAAAGAAACACATGCACTCACACAGACAACCCCCATACCCCGCGCACACGCACACACACACACTCACACACCCACACACATACACACACTACAGTAAAAATACACGTGTTGTGAATAGTACATTAAAAATAGTTGCTATCACACCCAAACTTAAGAGGTTTCAAGACAAACAAAAGCATACTGTGTGAATCGCACATTATTATAATGTGAGAAAACTAGTCATTCTCACAGTTTCTTTTTTCTCTCTCATTACAGGCTGAAAATATCAGAGCTTTCCAGGTTTGGATCTGGCAGACACAAGACAGCATTGTTAAAACAGCACTTCTAGCAAAACACATCTTATACAAGGCGAGGCGATCAAAGTGTTGGAAGGAGTAACTAAGGTAACGGAGCAAAGAGGTCACTGCTCACAGCAGCTGAGGAAAACAAGTGTGAGAGGTGTTCTGTGGCTACAGTGTCTGTTTTTGATCAGTAAAAAAAAAAAAAAAAACAGAGAGAGAGAGAGAGAGAGAGAGAGGGGGTGGATGTTAGTGTAACTCAAAGCCGAGGAAAATATATACGTTTTAGAGGAACAAAGCGCTGCAGCAGATGATCGTTGAACACCACCTTCCTGCTAAATCTGATCACACTGACAGTGACTACAAAGCAGCACTTTTAACTCTTCGGTGCAAAACAAAAGCGGCAGAAGTCATCTCATAGAGGGGGAAACGTGGATTCTCTCCTTCTGACGGCAGCAGTAATGGCACCATGTGTCCTTCACTGCAAGACAAATGACAATACAGGAAATAAAAGAAAGTACAGTGCGAATACAGTGAAGGCTGACGTGCTTTTCAGATGTCACTGAGCCCTACCTGCCATGAACACATTCCTGTTGGTCTCTTTTACATTACATGCTGTTGAAAACATTTTTCACTGGTCTAACAAACATGCAGATATTTTCTTTTCCGGGATAATCCTGCATAATGTTGAATAAATGAAGCTGAGAAGCAGATTATGCTAATCTGATTTGGTCATGGTCTCCACTTTGAGGATGGTTTATCTCCCCTCTTAGCCGTAATCCTGGAAAGGATAGTACAGTAGCATATAGCAAAAAAAATATGCCAGTGATTTAACACATAACTAATCTCCCATGTTCTATCTGTTCCTCATTTATCTGCACTCTCTGCCAGTGTGGAAGCTTAGCACACATACACAGGGACACATACTGTAAGTGGGCAAAAGCAAGACCAAGTCCATAAAAATTGGCTGTGCAGTTTATATTCATCTAGACTTATACAAGAAGTCACTGTGTCGAGTGTAAAAGCGAATACGAGGGAAATAAAAGTCACAGTGGCGTAAATCTGCAGATAGAACCTGTACCAGAGTGAGAGGCGGCGCGGCAGAGGGCGATGGAGCGATGCCACCAGGAGGACAATGAGGTCCTGTCAAGCCCCAATCTGCTTTTTCATCAGTGTAACTGGAGAAGAACACATAACACAAAGCAGCAGAAAAGTGGGACGCAACCCAACTGTCCTCCCATGATACCCCCGGGGATTACTTGCTCTTTCATTTTATTGTTTCTACTTACAGTTTTTTTCTTATTTATTCAAACTTAGACAAGTGAAGCTGAAATACACCCACAGCTAAAAGATAGAAGTCACCCGAGATGGCCTTCATTGATATCAGTTATCAAACTGGCTGAGAAATGCTATTAAATTCTTCATCTGATCTGAAAACGATCCTCCCTGGTGATTGTAATAAAGATAATCCAGCCTGTACACATAACCTGTCCTGCTGTCGGCTCCCATTTGGATCCTCCCAGCGTCCTGGCTGGTGACATGGTGGATGAATTCAGTCCACGCAACACTGACCACAAGGTTACCTAAAGAAAAAAAAACGTGCTGAATGAGTTGATCATATCTGTAGCTACCTTTTGCTTTGAATTCTTTATTTTTTTGCAATGCCTGGCACACTTTGTTTCATAATAACCTACAAAAATTTAACAAATTACAGTACTTAACACACAAATCAGTACAAAATAGTCAAGTGGCTACATTTTGTGTTAGATCTGCAGATGAAAAGACCATGTTCTCTACATATTATGAGTAAATAACCACCAAAAAAAAGCATTTTTGCAAACATATTAATATTCATAAACCCTGCAAGGTTGTCGGATTGAGGGAAGACATTCTACTAGGCCTCTTTCTACAGGATATTACAGCTGTCAAGGTTTACCAAATCTAACAATAGATCAACGTAATTCAACTGATTAGCAAATAAAGTTAAATGTAACAGAAGAGCAGAATGATTAGAAAATAAAGGCTCTCTCTCTTCCTACCAGTGATCTGGTGTTCCACATGCACCTGTCCTGCACCATCGAAAACATCGTTGTTTCTTCGCCTTTTTCTTCCTTACTCCTCCTTCTCTTCTTCTTCTTCCTCCATGGTGAGTTCAGCCTGTAAATGCCCGCCGTGTGTGTGCTCGCCTCTCTTCAGATCGACTGACATACATGAGCGGCGTCCTGCAGCCTCCATGGCCGCCGCGCAGAGCAGGCAGATGTGGGGAGTGCCAACAACAGCTGCGCACTGACGGGAGTCCGGTCCGGGCAAAACGGGATAAAGTGGAGACGGAAGCCTCGGGACAAAGACCGTGAACTGGAGGTATTAATGAGAACACTGACTTCTTTGACTGCGCAGACCTTGAATTAATCAGCGCTCTCGGTCTCCAGCTGCTGCTACAGGTTTACGGTCTTTTTGTATGCGCACCCTTCATCCACCATCTGTGTTTCCTGGGCAACCGAGCACTGCCTGCAGGCACCAGCAGCTAATGCACTGCAGCCACCTCCAATCTAGGAACATACAGTAATGTGCTCTATTTTTTTTGCTTGCTGTAAGCCTATTTTTCTTCCATGCTAAGTATTAACTGATTTTCTCCACGTGTCTGCACAAGCTCTCATTTATTCTGCTCCACATTTACAATCTAAATGGCAGATATTTGCTCAGTTATACATCTGTGAAATTCTTTTTTTTTTTTCAATAAATAAATGATGGGTATTGCATTGAGGTGCCTGAATCTACATAAATGTAGGTCAGGATTTAAAGACAAAAATGAGATGTAGTTCTTTTCAACACACAGTGCTCAGATGTTCAAAAATAATTAGAATGTTTGTCCTTTCAGCAACAGTTCGTGCACAAAAGAGCTCACACATGGAGCAGAGATGATTGAGGGTTGCCACGAAGATTTGAAGTGGAGTTGGAGTAAAGAGGCGGACATGTAAATGGGAATGGTGATGGATATAATAACAACAAATCCACCATTTGCTACATTCTAGGCAGGCAGGTGGTTCAGGTAAACTGGAAAATGGGAAAAAAAAAAAAAAAAGTTTGCACAAATCTGTGTCAACCAGAAAGTCATTTGTACAAGCAGCAGTGGCCTACTTGTCACCGTCACCACGACAAGCTTGCAGCGTTCATCTGAAGGTGCATATCTCTGGAATCAAAAACAGAAAGGCCAAGATGCGGCTTGAAAATACAAACAAAAAGAGGAACACAGTTCTGTGGCCTCATGGAACAAGAATCTACCTCGAAAGGGATGGAAAGAGCAAAGTGTGGATAAAAAAAAAAAAAAAAAAAAGCCCATGAGCCAAAGCATCCCACCTCATCTGTCAAACATGGTGTGGTTCTGTTATGGTTTGCGTGGCTGCCAGTGGTAGTGACGCACTGGCATTTATTGTTGATTTCAGTGCTGACAGAAGAAATGCAGATATTTCGGTGACTGGGCGTTAAGATTCAGCCAAATGCGTCAAAACTCACTGTGAGACATTTCATCATTCAGGAGGACAACGATCATAGAGAGAGCTTTTTCTGGATGAGGAGGTGGAATATCCTCAACTAACCGAGGCGATCATTTGATCTAAATCTGACTGAGCTGCTTTCGACTTACTGGAGACTAAACTGAAGGCAGAGAGAAACCACAATAAGCAAGAGCTGAAGACCTGGAAGAGTCTCACCAGGAAAGATACAAAGCATTTGCTGTTGCTTGGAGGGGTCAAACACTTCAGAATGTCATTGACTGCTAAATAAATATCATTTAGATTTTGTTTAATTTCATGTGACTATTCAGTTTTTGAACTGCTAAATTTTGCTCACCCTGCATTCTGAGGATTTCTCTTCCACATATTTTTTTTCTATATTGACACACATCTATTCGACACTGAACAAAAACACCGGTCAGTATCTGGTGCGACCACCATTTGCCTCACACTGTGCAACACATCTCCTTTGCTCCTTGCACAGAGTTGATCAGGTTGTTGATTGTGGCCTGTAGAATGTTGTTCCACTCGTCTTCAGTGACTGTGTGAAGTTGCTGGATATTGGCAGGAACTGGAACACCCTGTCATATATGCCAATCCAGAGCATCCCAAACACGCTCAACAGGAGACATGTCCGGTGAGTATGCTGGCCATGCAGGAACTGGGATGTTTTCATCTTCCAGGAACTGTGTTTGGATTCTTGCAGCATGGGGCTGTGCATTATCATGCTGCAACACGAGGTGATGGTCGTGGATGAATGGCACAACAATGGGCTTCAGGATCTCCTCTCAATAAAATGCACCTGTTGACGTTGACATCAGCAAACCGCTAACCCACACGACACCATACACGCCATCTGTCATCTGTCCTGTACAGTGAAACCTGGGATTCATCCATGAAGAGAACACCTTTCCAAAGTGCCAGACGCCATCGAATGTGAGCATTTGCCCACTCAAGTGGGTTACCACAATGAACTGCAGTCAGGTCGAGACCCCGATGAGGACAACGAGCGTGCAGATGAGCCTCGTACCTGATTGTTCATCTTGTTGCTTAATGTTGGCATTTCATTGACTTTTTAAAAAAATATATTCTTATTGACACATTTTGATAATATGTAAATCCCAACATAAATACAAATGTACTCACACACACCCAGGGGAAGGAATAAATAAATAAGAGAAATTCATCATAACGTGTCAAGAACTCAAAAGGTCACAGCAGCACAAGTCATCCACATGTGGTTTACGGTTTATAAATACAACCATCAAGAACTGAGGTACAGAACAGAAAGAAAAAGCTACCAATATATACATAGAAATGCAGTCAAGCTGAACCAAATATTGCAAAAAGGGACCCTTAAGATTCTTCCCATTTTTGTTAAGATTAGAAATTATTAGATTGCAGTTTCTCTGTGAGAGTAACTAAAATCAAGATCGTGCAAGCATTTTTTAAGCACGGTGGAGTTATTTATTTTTGCTCATGTCATATTCACTGGTAGAACTTTTTAACTGTGTTAAAGATTAACTAAAGACTAAAAAATGACCAAAATCAGTCAATCAGAGGGCAGTTCAAAAATAAATGCAGCAATGTGCCATCTTTTTACATTTATCATAGACTGGAGACACATAAGCGTAAAATGTATCTAACATGACTTTAGAAAAATAAAAATAGTGAACTTTGAACTGAATTAACCTGTGTCAGCTTTTTTTTTGAAGAGCTATTGAATTGGGGAAGTGTAGCCGGCCATATTTTATCAGACAGAACAGCATTGATTTCCCCTTTCCAAAGCCATTCTAATACAGCTGACAGACAGTTTTTAAAGAGTTTGTCTCAAAATGGGGGACATTATTTTAAGATGCCAAACACAAAGAGTGGGATAGATTGTGCAATAATCCTAACTGACCAAAAGTTGCACATTTGTTGGTTAAATAAAACTCACTGCAGTTATTTTACTCACTGTGTATCAAATGTGTTGTTGAGCAATGCTGGTAAAGTCATGACTGTGTTAAAATAATGTTCATGTCGAATATTAGAAACTTTGTAAATATGCTGAACTTGAAAGATGGTGAGAAATATGGTTTAATTAAGGACACTGAGACTTTTTTTTCCCAAACTGTGCTCAGTTTTTGTTGACTAAAACTAAAATAATCAAATGACTAAAACTAATGTACTAGTAAAATGTTGTTGAAAAGACAACTGGAAAACCACTCCATAAAAAGAGGTACTATTAGCACTGAATTTGGAACAATACGATACAGATATAATTAATACAGGAACAAACAAGCTGGAGTACATGAAACATTAATAAGCATAACAAATAGGGCTGATTATGTGAACTATTTTTGATGATAGAAAGTTTTCAGTTGAAAATATTATGAAATAACAATTTGTCTGTAAATCAACTCCCTACTTTTTCAATTTAAAAAAACATAATTAAGATTTCTTACCAGATACTAGAAACATCTCAAGGAAAATAACATATTAGTCACCAAAATATTAGAGTATTTTCATCTATGTAACATACCTGAAAGAAATCTTTAAGCTCTGCATTGACAATAACTGCATGTGAAGCATCCGAACTTGAGTTTGAAAATGTATCCCTGTCATTCCTGAATGCAAATGTGAGCTTTAAGGCCTGCTGTTAGTCCAGTTTAAATAGAGCCGAGGATTTCAGAATCTCTGCTAACAACAGATGGCATAAGGAATAAAAAATCAACAGACAAATCCATGTTTGCAGTCTTCTGTGAGATTATTCTGTCACTGAAGAAGGACAATAAACATTTGAACTGAGGCAGGAAACAGAGGGTTTCTACAGAGTGTGTAATTGTGCTGTCTTCAGGCAACACAAACAGGAACCTTAAATTATGGCTGCAACTATTCATGTTACTGATGAACTCTTTCATAAAGTAATGGAAAATGTCCAACCTAATATCCTAAAGCCTGAAATGAGCTTTCCAGATTGTTTTTTGTCCAATCACCAACAATCCAGAAATTAAAGATGTCCTTTTTCACTAATGTTAAACTGAAAAATCAGCAGCCCCTGATATTGGAAAAGCTGGAAACAGGGATTGTTTGACATTTTCCTTTAAATAAAATACTTAAATGATGATTAATCTCACAGTGCAATTGGCAGGAGTCATTGTAAATCTAAGATCACCCGCAGGTCACATTAGCACCTGGCCGCTGGACTGATAATGCAGACAAATGATGTCTGGCGCTGGGCGATATCAGCGAACCACCCTCATAAATGACTGTCGAAAGTCATTAAATTAGCGCCCTATTATTTAGTAATCTGTGCTATTTTAAAGAGTCTATAACACTAATTATATCGCATGGCTGTCAGTATTAATCAGCCAAACATCACAGGGAGAATGGATATTGCGAGAGATGTCTTTAAACGTGATGAACACTCCGTCCAGCTGGGGGCGACAGAGTGCGCAGTCGCATAGATTTGTCCTTCCTGAGCTGCCGTACCTCTGTAGCAGGCTGAGCCGCGGTTCCTCAACCTGCAGCATCGAGTGAGAAAACCGCGCATCATTGAATTTCACCCCATTTATGCATAAATCGAGTCCCGCAGGTCTGTCAGGCCTGTGCCGAGTCACGGAGCATCTCTACCTGAGTAGCCTGAGAGCGGCTCACGACGCCGCCCTGCTTACTGACCATGAAATCAGCTGCATCGTCAACGTTACGGAGCCCGGGAGCAGCTCTCCTCCTCCTCCTCCTCCTCCAGGGGTGGACTACATCCACATCCCCGTCCCCGACTCCCCGCTGTCTCCCCTTAGAGATCACTTTGACGAGGTAGCGGATAAGATCCAGACCACGGCGGAGCGCGGCGGCCGCACCTTGGTGCACTGCCGGGCCGGGGTGAGCCGCTCCGCCGCCCTGTGCATGGCCTACCTGGTGAAGCACCGCGGGGTCAGCCTGCTGGAGGCCCACAGCTGGGTGAAGAGCTGCCGACCCGTGGTGAGGCCCAACCACGGCTTCTGGAAGCAGCTCGTCCAGTATGAAGTGGAGCTTCGCGGGTGCAACTCTGTCCGGATGGTGTCCTCCTCCATGGGGGAGATCCCGGACATTTACGAGGCGGAGGCCAAGAACATGATGCCGCTGTGAGGCTGCTTGGTGCTGGACAGGCTGACAGTGTTGGTCCGATGCTCAGACCCCGGTGCTCCCTCCAGGCTTCTGTAAGAAACAGTTGGTAGACATTCAGTTTGAAGTATTGTAAGTGCACTTAAACATCTCACCCAGGTTTGAAAATAGGTTTAAAAATACTCTATTTTGAATAATAATTTATGCCATAAGTTTTTTTTTTCTGTCTAAAAACAAGAAGCAAGTTTAATTAAATGGCTAGGAATAATTTAAACTGCATCTAATCCTGCCTCCTTATTGAAATCTGGAAATAACTGAAAATGATGGATTGCCAAACATTGTTCATTTAAAGACCCGAATCAGTGGAAATCAAGTAGTTTTGTTGTTGTTATTGTTTTTAATCTTGTTAATGTACAGAAGCACTCCCTCCCTACCCCCTACCATAGACACATCTTTCTTATCCAGTCTATGCTCCCTACTCACTGTATAGGGACCACGACATATATATATATATATAAATATTAATACACTTTTGGGTCTTTTTGGCAGTATGGAGAAACTACAGTGGAGGACATCCAGCCGTACGAGATGAGTTTTATTTTGAAATCGGCCTAAACTATAAAGACATTCCAGCAGTGCTCAGCAAGAGGCACAGTTTTAACAAACCGTCCAATAACATTGATCTGACTATACGAGATCTCACTAAAGATACCTCTTTTTTTTAAATTTTCCTCTCCCTGTTTTTTAATCTCTCTCCTTGTCCCTTCTGAGGCTCTGTATTAATATGTCCACACGGCCATTCTTTTATATGCTGACTGAGTGAAATAAGCACCATGGGGGATTATTTCCACCCTGAAACCCATGACAGTGTCAAAAATACAGATTCAGACATTCTGGGTTTCGTGTAACAAACCTAAAGAGCAAATTCTGTCAACTTCCAGATCTATGATTGGTAATATTCAAAACCAGGTGAAATGTGTAAGGCTGAATTAGTCTGATATTAATATTTACTGTTCAGGAGTATTTTTACATTGTGGCACTGGTACTTTACCTTTTTGTACAGTCATCCTCAGATGTATTCATACCCTCCCAATAAAGAAGCAAAGAAACAGCTGTCACTGAAATAAGTTGAAGTTGACAAAAAATACATAAAAAAATTAATGAAAATCATGACATTGCTTTTGAATTGTGGTTCAACAGAATTCTATGTTTTAAAAGCAAACTAGCATGATGCGACCCATAAACTAATATTTTGTTGACCAACCCTTTGAGCCAATCACTGCAATCAAGTGTTTTCTGTAACTCTCAGTCAGACTTCTGCACCTGTTGACAGGTATTCTGATTTTGGCCCACTGCTCATCAGCAAAGTGCTCTAAGTTGTCTGGGACAGTTTTTTTTTGTTTTGTTTTGTTTTGATTTGTTTTTTTTTAAATAATTTTTGTCAACCACAATTCAAAAGCAATGCCTTATTTCACTAAATTATAATTTAGCAAATTTTTATTTATTATTACCTTTTTCAGTTTCTAGGTATTTGAGTGACTATTGTGAATTTTGCCTTTTCTTTAATAGAAGGGTATGAATACATCTGAGGATGACTGTACATGTAATTGACAGTCAAATCACTGCAGCAACTGAGACACTGAAGGCAGTTAAATCCAACCCATTTGAGGCGAGAAAGTACAAAAAGCCTTTATTTTCAACTCTCAGCCTGATGTGCAATGGAACATATGAATGACAGCAGTTTGTTTTTGATGGACAGTCCTTTCCAACACAGTGAAATAAATACCTTACATGGAGTTATTTAGCTTGATGGTCATGATGGTTTGTCATTCTGGTGCCTAATTTCACTGAGAAAAAGAGGAACATTGTAACAAAAATATATTATAAAAAAATGCTCAAATTTCTTCGCAGAGTTCTCAATAAAAATATATTTTTGAAACATAACATGGACTTGTTTCTGCTGATTAACAACTGAGTTATTTTGCTTTTTACAGAACCAGCTTTGCGCGACCACCACCTGCTAGAAACGGACAGTTAGTTATCGGAAACAGGCACAATACAAGGGCGACACACTGAATCACAGTAAAATCATTCACAATTTGGCACAAGTCTGTCTGACTGAACATAAACACGCATTTTAGATTTAATCGTATGTATTAGTGGTCATACCAGAGACACTTTTTTTTTTCCAATTCTTCACTCCAAGCAGTCGAAACAACTGGCTGCTGGCCAGTTTCCCCTCATAAAAATACAGGTTACCACAACCATCATGTCAGACTAGAGTTGTTATGCAAAGCATCAAGTGGTACAAGTTACACATGTTCACTCAAAACAGGAACAACTGGCCACACAAGTGTCAGACAGCCACAAATCAAAAAGACTTGACAGTTTTCATGAAATACAACATTTCAGTGTCAAATTCACCACAGTTCTGCATGACAGACAGCATGGAAGAAAAAAAAAAAAAAGGTTTTACATGCATAATCAACACCCTAAGAGAAATTAAAATCCAACCATTTTGCTGTATTTTAGGGAAATATAAGGATACCACTCTCATATTTGTACGCTAAGTAGGAAGCTACAGCTAGCAGCCGGTTAGCTGAGCTTAGTGGAAAAGCTCAGGTCAAAGAAGTGATGCAACACGTAGCCCCTCGTAAAACTGCATATTGTTATAATACTGCAGCTTTTTTATGAGTTTAACTAAATATATACCAAGTAGAAATTGCCAAGCTTTCAACAGGCTGATTTTTGTTACCTTCTGACAGAGCCAGCTTAGCTTTTTTTAATCTGTTTCCAATCTTTATGCTAGGCTAAGCTAGCCAAATAGCAAGTGTGGTTTTGATTATGTCTTCTTTTGTTTTTTGCATTTATCTCTTAGCAAAAATTAAATAAGCATATTTCAAAATTATGAAGTACTAGTTAAGTATAGACTTTACCAATGTAATGTAGCTGTTGTTGTTTTTTTTTTGTTTTTTTTTAATAGAGCCTTTAAGAAGGGGGTGAACCCAGTGCTAGCATCTCATTTGGAAAATAAAAGTTGCTAATACATTCATTAGGCTACAACCGTATGATTGCGAACACAAGCAGAAACCTCACTACGATGCTTTGCACATCTAAATAGAATCTTGACACCTTTTATCGACATTTATAACAAGTTCAAAGAAATAGCACACAGCCAGGATTTTACAAAGAGTCAGATGGCTTATTTTGGTACAAAGTGCAATCTCTAATGTATCCTACAAACAAGGCTAGAAGTAAACCACTAATTTGCTACTTATCTTATATATCCTGAGTCAGGACCTTAGTCAGGCCAAATTACAAGATTGCCTAAAAAGTGGAATCACAACACAAGTGCAAAAACAGCATGCTCGTTTTACCTTCACTGCATCTCACTAATTCTGTCAATAAGGCAACAGTGTCGTCTGCATAGTCATGCAATAAACATCTAAGGGTACAAAATAGAAGAATATCCATTTAACACAAGGTGAATTCATTGCAGAGTGCACCGATATAATATCTAACACCAGCATCCACTCTCCATCTTCTCTCACATCCAACAGTGCATTTAACTGCTCCAGGCAATGGCTTGAGATCACATCTGAAAGAAAACGGAGAGAATTCAAATAAAAAACAATTCATTAGCCCTATAGGAGACAGCGAGAGTGAACATTTAGTGTCTTATCCCAAATGTGCATTCCGCAAAACATAATAATTAAATGATCCTGAAGAAACGCTCTGTCATCTTGCCTGTACTACTGTGTATGTACAGCAAAATGACAATAAACTTGATTTGATCTGATTTGAAGAAGGTAATTTCTTTACATTAGCTACTTACTTGTTGTTCCAGCTTCTGGTAATCTCCAGATTTAGGTCGACGTGTGGATCTGGATCTCTTTCCTTCCAGAACGTAGGCAATTAGCTGGGGATAAAAAAAATAAATACAAAAATTGAGAGAAAAGGAAATTAGAAAGGTTTCCTCCAACTTAAGTTTGTTGTAGGATGCCTGATTTACAAAACAAATATTGATTAAACTTGTAATCAATGAAAGGCCCATGCTAGAACTGAGTGTGCCACACAGTACTGGGCAATTAAGTAACAATGCTTTATAAAAGTGGGTTTCCACACCTTAAAGTAACAGATATTTTCAGTAAATGTGCTTCTTGCCCAAAGTCCAATAAAACACTATGTGCTGCATTTCTATGTGCTGGTAGGCAGAACTTGAGATTCCCCTTCTTGCAGTCTTGAAGCTAAGCTAACCGAGCCAGACGTTGGCTCTAGCTTCTTTTCTTACCATACAGACAAAAAACAGAAATCAATCTTCTCGTCTAACTCTCGGTAACAAAACAACAATACCCAACCATCCCTTTGTTCCTTGCAGGTGTCATGTATCTCAAGACACAAAATGTGCATGCAGCTGACCGTATGTGCCAAATACTCACTGTGGCCAAATGATGTGATGTGAGCTGTTTTCTTTTTGATGTATTTTTGCACTGTTAAGCTGATCCAGAATTACTGTCAAACTGCCCAGCAAGTATTTATATACCTAAGTTACACTATAATTCAATCATCCCACTGCACATTGGAGGCCGTACCGAATAGAATAAATCTAAAACAGAACTTGCACTGGAAATTGCAGTCACACTAACCAAAGGTACAAGATCTGAAACTCACATATGGGTCAATGGAAACAGGAAGTAAGTTTCAGAAAGGAGTAAGTGGCAAAAAAAAAGTACCTTGCGCTTGTTGTGGTAAGCTATGTAGAGCACTGCCACCAGCACAGCCGTACAGACAAGGTAGGCGAAGAAATGACTGTTTTCTGCATCATCCTTCATTCCAGATTGGTCATACTTGGTGTTCAGTCCTGTTTTACTGTCATTGTCACCTCCCTTTTCTTTTGGATTTTCTCCTTTAGCATCATTTCCTTTAGCATGTTCTTCTTGACCAATCTTTTCTTCTGCATGTTTGTCTTCACCAACTTTTTCTTCTGCATGTTTGTC